GAAATAACTAACAGGATATATTTTGCTATTTTTGTACTATTTTCCTGTGACCAAGGAGGCTTGGTTTCTCTGTGTGTGTTTTTTTTGTTGTTGTTGTTGTTGTTTTTTCCTTCACATATTTGTTTCAACAGAAAAATATTTACTATTAGAGTATTAGTAGCTAAGGTTATATTTCCAAAATACTTTGATCTCTTCATGGTAACAAGATTTAAAAAAAAAAAAAAGCTTCTAGCAAATACATACCCCAAATTGAACCCTCATTCAAATGACAACCTGAGTTTAATAAGCCTATGCAAACTGAAACGAAAGCCCAGACTGAACTGCTGACGTACCTTGACATGGAAGCCAATAACCTGGCCTGAGGTTATATAAGAATGCCCCATTCTTATTTTTCCACATAGATAAAAGAGATGCTTTACTGCTCCAATGTCATACGCAGCTTACCTGATAGCCACAATTACTGCCACTTTTTAAAAAACTAAGTCCTCATCGGAAGCTGCACAGTAAGAAAGCTAATCTGAAACCTGCAAAAGTGCATTTTTCCGTGTATTTGTGTAGGAACCTTTGTGGTGCAGTGGGTTAAGTGCTGGGCTACTAACCAAAAGGTTAGCAATCTGCACCCACCAGCTGCTGGGAGAACGATGAGGCAGTCAGCTTTTCTGCAGATTGACAGCCTTGAGAAGACAATGGAGCAGTTCTAATCTGTGTTAGAAGAGGGATGCTGCTTGAGAGTCCGATGGAATTGAGTCCAGGCAGTGGACTTGGCATGTTTGTATATATGTATAGAAAATGGCAGCCGTGAGGAATCGCACTCAAATACCATTAATTGTGCAATATTCCCTAAAACATCTGCAATTGTTATCAAGAAATAACATCGAAGATTCACATTGAAATCCCAGGCAGAAGTATACTTAGTTTATATGTGAATGTCTAATAAAGAAAATCACAAATCTGAAGTATTAAACTTTTCAAATAATTGTCTCACAATTAAAACCTTATTTCCATCCTAAATTGATGAGTCAGGAAGGCTGCTAAGCAGAGAAAAAAAAAAAGAATGTTTTTGACATAAGAGAGTAGACTTATGTTCCTTTCGATGGTGACTCCTACAGGGCACTTGAGCAGGTCATCTGACGTCTCAGGCTTCAGCTGACTTACCTCTCTCTCTAGAGAGGGTGAGTGGGAAGAGTATTTTCAAGGGTTCCTCTGTGTTAAATCTTAGGTGTTTATTGAGCAACTATTTGTGTGTTGTCTGGTCACAGTTCTCAGGGGTCACAGAGGCAGGAACCCCCAAAATCCACTCTCCATGTGCAGGGGGCTAATCTGAGGACTTCTAATGACAGTAGGAATGGTGTTGCATTAATCATCGAAAAGGACATATCGAGATCTGTCTTAAAGTACAACATTGTCTGTAACAGGATAATATCCATATGCCCTACAAGGAAGACCTGTTAATACCACTATTATTCAAATTTATGCACCAACAACTAAAACCAGCGATGATGAAGCTGAAGAATTCTATGAATCTCTGAGGAGTCCTAGTGTGGTGCTGTGAGTTAATGTGCTAGACTGCAAAGTTGGTTTGAACTGCAAGGATGGCAGTTCAAGCTCACCAGCCACTCCTTAGAAACCCTATGCAGGGTTGCTATGGATACGAACTGACTCAACGGCACTTAACAACAACAACATGAACCTCTGCAAAGTGAATTTGATCAAACATGCAATCAAGATACATTGATTATCAAAATGCAAAGGTTGGAAACAAAGAGTGAGGATCAGTAGTTGGAAAATATGGCCTTGGTGATAGAAATGACGCTGGTGCTCCCATGATAGAATTTGCAAGACCAGTGACATCTTTACTGCAAATCGCTGTTTTAAAAAACCTAAAAGATGACTATATACATAGACCTCACCAGATGGTATACACAGAAATAAAACTGACTACATCTGTGGAAAGAGACAGTGGAAAAGCTCCATAGCATCAGCCAAAACAAGACCAGGTGAATTGTTTTGACTGATGATCTCAATTACCCATATGAAAGTTCTGGCTGAAGTTGAAGAAAATTAAAACAAGTCCTAAAATAAGTCCATAAAAGCCAAAATATGACCTTCAACATCTTCCACTTGAATTTAGAGGTCATCTGAAGAACAGATTTGATGCATTAGACACTAAAGACCAAAGACCAAAAAAGTTGTGGGATGACATCAGGATCATCATACAGAAAGAAAGCAAAAGGTTATTAAGAAGATAAGAAGGAAAAGACCAAAATGGATGTCAGAAGAGACTCTGAAACTTGCTCTCCAGCATAGAGATGCTACAGCAAATGGAAGAAATAGAGAGGTAAAAGAGCTGGATAGAAAATTTCGTAGGTCAGATCGAGAAGACAAAGTCAAATATTACAACAAAATATACAACGACCTGGAGATAGAAAATCAAAAGGGAAGAACACGCTCAGCATTTCTTAAGCTGAAGGAACTGAAGAAAAAGTTCAAGCCTCAACTTGTAATATTGAAAGATGTTGTTGTTAAGTGCCGTCGAGTCGGTTCCGACCCATAGCGACCCTGTACAGGGTTTCCGAGGGTGTAAATCTTTACGGGAGTAGAAAGCCTCATCTTTCTCCCGCGGAGCAGCTGGTAGTTTCGAACCGCTGACCTTAAGGTTCACAGCCCGATTCGTAACCACTACGCTACCAGATACTATGGGCAAAATACTGAATGATGCCGAAAGCATGAAAAGAAGATGGAAGGAATACACAGAGTTAGTGTACCAACAAGCAATGGTCGATGTTCAACCATTTCATGAGATATTATATAATCAAGAACCAATGACATGGAAAAAAGAAGCACAAGGAATTGATGGAATACAAATTTGAAATCTTTCAACAAACTGATGAAGGACTGGAAACACTCAGTCATCTATAGCAAGAACTTTCAAAGACAGCTACCTGGCCAACTGACTGGAAGAGATCCATATTTTGTAATGGAAGTGTCCATTACAAAGAGAGGTGGCTCAACAGAATGCAGAAATCGTTGCACAATAATCAATAATATCAATAATATCTTATGCAAGTAAAATTTTGCTAAAGATAATACAAAAACGGCTGCAAATATACATTGACAGAGAATTGCCAGAGGTTCAAGTCGGTTTCAGATGGGGACATGGAATGAGAGATGTTATCACAAGCGTCAAATAGATCTTGGCTGAAAGCAGAGAATACCAAAAGATGTTTACTATGCTTTATTGACTACACAAAGGCTTTCAATTGTGTGGATCATGACAAGCGCTGGACAACACTGCAGAGAATGTGTATTCCAGAACACTTAATTGTGTTCATGCAGGAACCTGTAAATAGAACAAGGGAACACTGAATGGTTTAAAATTAGAAAAGGTGTGCACTGGGGTTTTATTCTTTCATCATATGTATTCAATCTATATGCTAGGCACATAATCTGAGAGGCAGGATTGGCAGAGGACTCATCAACAACCTGCTGTATGCAGACGATAAACCTTGCTTGCTGAAAGGGAAAAGGAGTTCAAGTAGTTACTGATGAAGATCAAAAACCACAGCCTTCAGTATGGGTTGCACCTCAATGTAAGGAAAACAATAATACTCACCACTGGACCAATAAACAATATCCATGTAAATGAAAAAAAGATTGAAGTTGTTAAAAGATTTTTATTTTGCTCGGATCAACCATCAACACTCATGGAAGCAACAGTCAAGAAATTAAACGATTAAATAAAATAAAATAAATTAAAGTGTTGAAGAGCAAAGATGTCAGTTTGAGGACTAAGGTGTGCCTGACCCAAGCCATGGTATTTTCAATAACCTCATATGGATGCGAAAGCTGGACAGTGAATAAGGAAGATCAGAGAAGAATTGGTGCTTTTGAGTTATGGTGTTGGAGGAGAATGTTGAAAGTACCATGGACTGTGTCCTAAGAACAACTAGATCTGTGTTGGAAGAAGCGCAGCCCGATTGGGACGTATTTTCAGGAAGAACGGTCGGAATGAAAAATGAAATTCCCCAACTAAATGGATTGGCACAGTGGTGGCAGCAATGGGCTCAGGTGTAGCAATGATTATGAGGTTGGCCCAGTACTCGGCGGCAGTGTTTTGATTGTGAGGTTGGCCCAGGACCGGGCAGTGTTTTGTTCTGTTGTGCTTAGGATCGATATGAGTCGGTGCCGACGCGATGGCACCTAACAACACCACCACCAAAGGACAGCAGGTACATGGCGGAGGGGAGGAAAGGAAGCCAAGTTCTGACTCCTGACCCGGACAATTCTACCTGGACAGAGGACCGTCACCGACCAGGAGCAAACACCGAGAAAACTGAAGGGTCCGCGGCGCTAGGTCACACCGCAGCGTACCAGCCCCTGGACTTGAGCTCATTTGGGTTACAGCTGTCGCGGGAAAGAGGCCTCCTCGGCACGGAAGACCACGAAAGCTCTACGACACCCTTTTTTACCTCTCGAAACACCAAACACCAGAATCTCCCTTGAAACAACAGAAAACTGCGCCTCCACCGCGGAACACCCCCAACTTCTACCGGCTGTCTCTGTTCTCGCGATATATTTAGAGACCCACCTCCTTAACTCCCTCCTCCTGCGTCCATCTACCAATCAGTGATAAGTTGGGTCCCGGTTTTGCTTTTGATCCCGGAGCGCGGCCTTGAATCCTAGTTCTCTGGCGTAGAGAATGGGCGGAGCTCCAGCGGGGGTGGGGCGGTGAGAGGGGCAGGACATGCACAAAATCTCGCGGGACTGGAGACCAGGAAGACGCCTACAGAGCCGGGCTGCTTGTGCAGCCGCGGCAGAGGTAGCGGGCGCTGCAGCTTCAGGACCATCTGCCTTTCAGGTTCGCTTGGTCTCCCAGTGGGGGAGGCGCGACGGAGTCGGCCTGGGCTGTGAGGCGTGCGGTGCCTGGTGAGGGTTAAGAGAAATTCAGACCACGACCTGTCAGCGGGTCAGGGAGGCGCCCACCCTCCTGACAGTATAAGATGGCGGCGATGGCGCCTGGAGGTGGCGGCGGCGGCGGCGGCGTGAATCCATTCCTTAGCGATACCGACGAGGATGACGACGAGGTAGCGGCGACCCAGGAGCGGCGCTCAGGACTTCGGCTGGGCTCCGGGGGTGGCCTGGATCCTGGCTCGGTGGGCTCGCTGTCGCCGCAGGACCCCGTGGCTTTGGGGAACAGCGCACGGCCCGGGCTCCCTGGGGAGGTGGCGGCGGCGGCGCTGGGGGGCCTTGGGGATACCCCGGCCCGACTGTCCATCGATGCGATCGCAGCTCAGCTGCTGCGCGATCAGTACTTGTTGACGGCCCTGGAGCTGCACACGGAGCTGCTGGAGAGCGGCCGCGAGCTGCCTCGGCTGCGAGACTACTTCTCCAACCCCGGCAACTTCGAGCGGCAGAGCGGGACCCCGCCGGGGGTGGGCGCGCCCGCCTTCCCGGGAGCGGCGGGCGGCGCCGGAGGTCGGGAGCCGAGCACCGCGTCGGGCGGGGGACAGCTCAGTAAGTGGGTGCTGCCCGGCCCCCGCCGGCGGGGGGTTGGGAAGTGTATTGGGGGGGCTCGAGTTGGGGATGATTAGGGAGTCGAAGGAGTGCTGTGCTGTGGACGCTGACGGATTTGGCAGTCGTGGACTCCTTGATTGGGTGCTCTGTTGATGTGGGGTCTTTACAGCCCCCCAGGTTTCTAGATCACTGGCGATTACGGTGCTCACCACAAGGCGCCCTGGTAAAGTGGCTAGTCGCTTTAAGCATATTTCCTTTTTTTGCAATCTCCCGAACCATGGTACCTGGAAATAGTGATTCTGGGAATACATGGTTTCAGTAATTCTTTGACTCGCAGGAAGTGATTTATCTGGCTATACTGCAGGCTCCTTGTTGGCAGGTGCCTTGTTCTTGGATCTTCCTGTTCCCCCTGAGTCCCTTCAGCGAATCCTGCATGGAGGAAGGGTTTCCGCGCTCTAGCTGCAAAGTCAGATGCCCCCCTTAAAATCCTTTGTCTTTGGATGACTTTTTCACTCAGACGTTGGCTTTTCTTCTTGGTATGGTTTGTTTTCTTAGTGCAAGTCAATTTCATTCTATTTCCATACGTTCATTTCAAGGTTTTCCAGAATTACAGGAAACCCAAGTAGCAGGGCAAGCACTTTTTCCTGCTGTTGATCTCTGGGGCCCACCACCTAGCAGCCTTTTGTTTCTCTGCTACAATTAGGGAATTTACTTTTTAACCTTGTTACCATTTTAGCCATCTAGAGTAATTTTTTACTTTTTTATTTCTTCATCATACATTTGTCAACATTTCTAAGGCCTGAAAACATACTTTTTTACCATTCCCAGTATCACTGTTGTTTGGGAGGTGTCTTGTTGTTGTTGTTATTAGGTGACATGGAGTTGATACTGACTCATAGTGACCTTATGCACAGCAGAACAAAAACACTGCCTGGTCCTGGGCCAACCTCACTATAGTTGCCACATTTGGCCAGTCGGTCTCGCTGGGGGTCTTCCTCTTTTTCTCTGACCCTCCTCCTTACCAAGCATGTTATCCTTCTACAGCGATTGGTCCCTCCTGACAATATGTCAGACAGAAGTATGAGAGATGAATTTTCGCCATCCTGGCCTCCAAGGAGCACTCTGGCTGCACGTCTTCCAGTACAGATGTTTGTGTTTTTGGCAGCCCATGGCACTTTGAATATTCCCCTCCAACACCATAACTCAAAAGCATCAATTCTTCAACAGTTTTCCTTATTTACTGTCCAACTTTCACATGCCTATGAGGTTATTGAAAATACCATAGCGCATCTTAATCCTCAAGCTGACATCTATGCTTTTTTCCCAAATTGCTGATGTGAGGTGACTTATTGTATTTTATGACTCCAACTAGACTTTACTAATAAATGTTGAATGTAGTCTAAATGATTTCTAGCTCTCTTTTTCTATGTACTTTTGAATATTGCCTGAGACTTATATTGGCAAACTTATGGTTGTTAGGTACCTTCAAGTCGTTTCTAACTCACTGCAACCTACATAAAACAGAATGAAACACTGCCTGGTCCTGTGCCATCTTCACAATTGTTGTTGTTCAGCCCACTGTTGCAATCACTATGTCTCTACATCTTGTTGGGAATCTTTTTTGCTGACCCTCTACTTTACCAAGCATGATATCTTTTGCCAGGGGTGCATCCTCCTGATAACATGTCCAAAGTATGTGAGATGAATGCTATCCTCACTTCTAAAGAGCATTCTGGCTGTACTTCTTCCAAAACACATTTATTTGTTTTAATGGTACTTTCAATATTCTTTGCCAACACCATAATTCATATGCATTGATTCTTCTACTCCTTATTTATTGTCCAGCTTTGTTATTGTCCAGCTTTGACATGCTTGTGAGGCGACTGAAAATACCATGGCTTGGGTCAGGCACACCCTAGTCCTCAAATGGATATCTTAGCTCTTTAACACTTTAAAAAGATTTTTTTTTTTTGCAGCAGATTTGCCTAATGTTGTCATTTGTTTTCTTGACTGCTGCTTCCATGGGCACTGATTGTGGATCCAAGTAAAATGAAATCTTTGACAACATCCATTTATCATGATGTTGTTTAGTGGTTTGGTTGTGAGGATTTTTTTTTTTAACATTAAATTGTAATTGTTGCTTTTTCTCTATACTTTTGATTAGTACCAAAGACTTATATTGCCAAATGAGGATGTAGTCAAAGAGCAGAGTGTGTGTATATTCTATATAGGTAAATTCGAAGCACATTCCCTCTTAGCTATCCATTTTTTTTCCCCCTGTAACTTCTTTTTTTTACTATGTTGGATATCCCTTCTAGAAGAGATTTCCTCATTGTCATCCTTTCAGACCATAAAATATGACAAGCAGTAGTATAACACAATTATTGTATAGTGTTTTTTAAGATGACTAAATTACTTAATAATGATTCTCATTTGACAAGCTCTTACTAATTTATCGTGACCCAGTTCAAGTGTCGCCTTCATAAAGGCCCCCTGCCTGGCTACTTCTTTAGTGTATGGCTTTCAGGCCTCAGTCTTGGCCGGAGCTCTTTTATATTTTGTTTGTTGACAATATCATTATTTTCTGTCATGTAGTTATTTGAGGGACTTCCTTAAATTCTCAGCTTTGTACAGCCCCCTAGCCTATTGTTGGACACAATTAAATTGCATTTGCTGTATTTTGTACTATTGAATGATTTTGAGTCATCTCTGACTTATAGCGATCCTGTACAGGGTTTCTGAGGAGCAGTTGGTGAATTTGAACCACTGACCTTGCATAATTAAAAGGGTTATACCTTCTTAACTTGAATTAATTTAAAGATTACTTATCTCTTAATCCTATCTTATAACTTAATGTCACTGTTGGTAGGGAAATTTTCTTAAGCTACAGTTAAGTTCTCAGGTGCGCCTGTGCTTTCCTATTGTTTTCCTTTAATTGGGTCTTTTCTGTACTGGATTTTACACATATAAATGCACAGTTCAAGAGAAGTTACATATTTTTTAGGCTAATACAAGCAAATTAAGTTAAATGCACAAAGTTATAAAATATAGATGCATAATTGGAGGAAAAATAAGAATTATCCATAGTTCCACTTCTTGTTGTTAAGTGGGTAGAGTTTTCAAGGAGTAACTGGTGGGTTTGAACTATTATTGACTTTGTGGTTCAAACTGACCATGAGGTCAGTGCCTATTCTCCAGTGCCACACCAGAACTTGATAGTTCCACTACCCACTATTAATGGTCTCTGCCTTTTCTGTTTACTATGCAGATATCTTAAGAAACAAAAATTGTATTAAACTCTCGAACATAATAACTGTATAGCTAATCTGTCAACATTTCCCCATGACATTAAATATCTTACAACATAATTTTTAGTTAGATAATGGTATTGCACTATCTAAACATTCATAATTTTTTCAAAAGGCTAATTAATAGTTTTTGATATTTAAGTTTTCCAGTTTTTTCCTATTATAGACAAATTGATGGTGAAGTTTATGTTTAGGCCCATCCATAATTATTTCCTTAGGATAAATTATTAGAAGTGGAAATGTTGATTCAAAGGATATTTTTAAAAAAATGAAAATCATTTGATAAGTTTAGGTAGGTTGCCTTCCAGAAAGTCTACTTCACTGATTTTCATATCTTTCATCATTTTATCATATGGTAATTTGAAAGCCATTCTCACTTGATTGCTTTGAAATGAACTTGTTTGGTGTTTCCTTGGTTTTAACTTAATGACTGTTCTGAACTTCCCTCTCCTTCCTTTCCCTCTCCTTCCTTCCGTCTCTCCTGTTTGCCTTGAATTGCAGTTATGGCTCTCTGAGCTCCTCTGTCAATCTCCTCTTTGCACTTTACATAGCACAACATCCAGTGACTGGGAATAGCAGTGTCAAAAATCTAGTGCTTACAGAACCAAACTCCCCAAGTTTTTCATTTTCTGTGTTTCATCAATTCTAAAACACCTGACACATATTGATCCATTTTATAGCCTCTCTAAATTGGGAAGTGAGTTACAACCCATGATGTAGCATTGTTTATTTAGTAGCATTGTTTTTCTTTGTGGTACATAAAATACTAGTGCAAGTTACAACCCCTCTGTCTGTCCACCACAGTGTGCTCTGTGTGCTGAAGGCTTAATTAATCGTGTTCTGTTTTCAAGTCTAATTGGCCTCACTTAGATCACTGATAAAGGAGCTCTGGTAGCGTAGTGGTTACGAATCGGGCTGCGAACCGCAAGATCAGCAGTTCGAAACTACCAGCTGCTCTGCAGGAGAAAGATGAGGCGTTCTGCTCCTGTAAAGATTAACAGCCTCGGAAACCCTGTGCAGGGTCACTATGAGTCAGAACCGATTCCACGGCATATAACAACAACAACAGATCACTGATAAGGAGACTCTGTGATAGCGTAGTGGTTATGAATCGGGCTGCGAATCTCAAGGTCAGCAGTTCGAAATTACCAGCTGTTCTGCAGGAGACAGATGAGGCTTTCTGCTCCTGTAAAGATTTACAGCCTCGGAAACCTTGTACAGGGTCGCTAGGAGTCGGAACTGACTCCACGGCACACAGCCACCACCACTTCATTCTATAAAGCATTCACTGGCTGTCTACACACTTCTTTGCCTTATACTACATGATGATGTGACCTTGAGACTTCATCTGACCCCAAAGCAAGTGAGCCAGACATGGCTAAAATACTAGAAAGTTATCTTATGCTAGGCTGTGGTACTATAGGATAAGCACTGAACTGCTGACTTCAAGGTCAGTGGTTCAGACCCACCAGTCTGTCCTTGGATACCCTATATGGGGTTGCAATGGGTTGAAGCCAACTCCACGGCACTTAACAGCAGTGTGTAATGATAACATGTCTGTTGTGATTAAATTATGAATGATGGCAGTTGGAATCCCAGAATTTTCTTATTTTAAACACTGTATTATATTTTGTTGTTGTTAAGTGCTGTCGAGTCAATTCTGACTCATAATGGCCCTGTATAGGGTCTACA